TGTTCTATCTATATCCTTACCAAGTTCTGTATCCTTAACACCGTACAGTTTTAGCCTCAAATCAATGCTTCCTTTCAGATAATAAAGTTTTATGAGTATAAGCAAATCTCTAAACAAGACTCTCCCTTTTCAAATTTTCTTTTCTTTTTTTAAAAAATATTTTTGTTTAACTGTTTAGCCCCAAAAGTATCTTAATGAATTTACTACTGGTGGGATCATCGAAGCTGGCCCACATTTCCTAATTCTCAAGTTTAATTATTATTTTTTAACCTTCTTTGGAATGGATTTCATAGAATTAAAGCAAAGTGGAAGCATGAGCAATTATGTGCCTTTATTAGGCTAGATAATTTTGGTAAAAATATTATGATTCATGCATCACCTATAAAGATAAGAACATATACAATGTATTTTTTACATAATATAAATTTATAATACAATCAGTAATATATGAATACTTGTTTAATATTTAATGATATGCATGGGATATGCTTCATAATAATCAAGAGGGAGTGGAATGATATACTATGAAAAAGTTTGGTCATAATTTAATGATCTTTGAATCAAAGTTATGGGCATATAGAGATTCACTATACTTTAAAACACACACACACATATATACATATATACATGTGTATATATATATGTGTGTATAGTGACTCATTTTATCATAGAATGATTCAAGTTTCAATTTGGGTTCCACTGTTACATGAAATGCTGAGATAATTCTCTTTGTATAAGTAGAGATCAAATCCCTGAAGACTACTCTGTTGAGTGCTAATAACTAAACTCTTTAAGGATTTCTCTGGAATTTGAGAAATTTGGATAAAGGAATATCTTAGTCACAGTTATAGATATTTCACATAGAAATCTTATGTGTTAAAAAGAGAAAATGTAACTTACACTTCGTGGTTCTCTTTCTTGGTCTTGAGAGACCTAAAGCTCAAACAATCAAATGAATTCAACTCATGCTGATGAAACATACAAACTGAGAAATACATACATATGTATAAAGGAAAGAATTTGACTATTCACTACCTACTATTGTCTCACAGTATTAATTTTTTTTAAAAAAGTCTAGAATTTGAGTGTCCAGAAAACATCATGAGAACTATTTTCCTGGAAAGTGTTAATATGTATTTTAAATGACTCAAATTCATCACTGTACCAAGACTATGTGGAATTGCACTGAACTATGCACTGAACAATACCTGAATTATAATATTTTTTTAGAATATAATATTAAAGGGGCAGGTGTTAGGCATGTTTAAAAGTAAAATACAATGTGTGTAGAAAAAGTTCTTAGGATTCACGATTAGAACAACAACAACAAAATACTAAATGCTCTGGAGTGTAGAAGTGGGTACATACCGGGAAGCCAATGGTTACTGCCAAGATGGCTGTGATCAGAAGGAGAACTTTCATCTTATTCAGAAATACTCTAGTAATTAGAAGAAAGTCAAAATGTTGACACAAATTCAGAAGATCCAATTATAGTATATATTATGTTACTAATAGTTCTTTTATACTGCAAGTCACTTAATCTTAGGGCATCAATCTAGTTAATGGAGAAAAATTTTCTTTTTAGGTAAAATTAAAACTACCTTGTAATTTTACAATTGTTATATCAATTCTTTAAAAAACAAACATTTACATATTATTTAAGACGAATACTTGTCTAAACATGGTGATAAAAGTAGTTTCTGGAATGAAATATTTCCTCAGTTTATACAGAGACTGTCATGTCAGGGTAAGTAGTGATTTAATGATCTCAGGAAGTTCAAACACATTCCATATAAGAACCATAAGCTTAATTTAAGTAACATAATTATTTGCGTTGGTTCCTAGGCAACCCCTAAAATTTCATGCTGTTTAGAGGGACCTATTTTTGATATTTGGGAAAGAATATTTTCAAGGCATTTTGTTTTATTTTAATTTTTCATTGTAGATAGCTTATCTTATGATAGTTGTTATAATTAATGTATCAGTTATGATTGCTAATAAATATTTGAGAAAACTGAGCTCAATTAAATTGTAACCAATGATTATATATTTAATAGAGAAACAGACAATAAACTATAGAATCTATTGCATTTAAAAATAATTTGTCACTAATACAATAAACATATATATTACTTGATTTTAAACATGAATGAGTAATTTTCCCTATGGGATGGTATCAGTAGTCATTAGCATTCTTAATCATGGTGTAGATACAGTAGACGCTAGAGAATATATAGAGGTGTGGGTTGAGAAAGGCAATCAAGTTGCAAAGAGGAGTTGGTTAGGGAACTTTTCTTCAAGTTGTCTTCCTATTTATTTATTAATTTATTTATTCATCAAGTATTTCTTGATATCTGATTAAGTGTCAGACACTATCCTAGATATTAGGTGTGTATGGTATTTGAGAAAGTCCCAGCTTCCTTGGACCTTAGTAAGCACAATGTTATAGACCCGTAAATCACAAAGTTTTCTGAAGATTATTTAATTTAAAGTTTTACATTAAGGAAAATATCAATTACTCATATCATCATTATTATTTTTGGGTGGCTTTGAAATGCTTAATGGAAAGTCTAGGGAGATTAAGCACCTCTTAATGCTTCCCAAATATCTATGAGACAGAAGAATAAATGTAAAAGAAAAAAGTACACAAGATTTGATCATATTGTCTTTATTTTATGATCATCATATCATCTTTATTTTTTTATCATATTAAATTCAAATTGTGATAAAGAATACCAGATGATGTTATGATTGTGACAAAAAAGCTAAGTTCAGTATTCCATAGGAAGACTAGCAGTATAGGCAATTACCAGTAAAAATTTTTTATGTATACACACTCATACATGTATGCTTTTCACAGACATACATATATACATACATACACACACACACACACACACACATAGCATAACTTCTATGTGCAAAGCATTGTGCTAGGTGCCAACAGGGATATAATGATCAAGCATGATTTCTGCCATCTGGCAGGTAGTAAAGAAAGAGAGATATTTTTATAACATAAGGCAATATGTGATAAATACTACACATGGAAATCACAATGTATTGCTAGAATATAGAAGATAAAAGAGACAAATTAGGGAGACAGTTTTGCAGAAGATAGAATTCAAGCTGAGCATTTATAAGAGGAAGAAATTCAATTGGTTTCAAGGATTATTCAAGACCACATTAAGCAAACCACATCACAAATTTCTAAATCATATCTTAAGTCAGGGCATAGCATAATTAACAACTACCACATTTTATTTTTCTACTTCTCAAGCTGTAGTATACATAGAAATATATTGCTATGTCTTTGAAAAAATTAGATGCATTTTCCTGGAGCATCAATTTTATTCAAGAATTTATAAGAAAGCACAAGTAATTTTTATATTAAATTCAGCATAATATGTTATAGAATATAATGTAAATACAGCAAAATTTAAAGATAAAACAAGAAGCTATAAATAAATTGGCAGTTGTTCATACTTTAGAGAATATCTGGTATTGCATGTTCCATTTTTGGCTGACTTGAAATCCATAAAATTCAAAATGATGAGCCTGAGGCTCTGGAACAGTCTAATTGTAGCACCCCACCAGAACTTTACCCTCACAAAGATTTATTTATGGTCATTCTAAAATATGCACTATTATGACTGGATGGAGATTTTAAGAAAAAGTTTTGTAAGTAGGTATACCTCAAATGTTTGTCTAATTACTTAGTTTACAAATTCCCAAGCAACCATTACATGACAGTCTCAATAATTTTATTTTCAACAGTTTAAAGGATATATGTACATATCTCTAGCTATATAGATAATATATTTCTATATAAGACATATATATCACATACATACCCCAGTTTACAATGATGTTTAAGACCTCTCTTACCTCAGACTTTCCAGTTTCTTCTCTAAGATACTATTGTAAGAAATGAGAAGTGACTGGCCCTTAAATATGACAGCTATTTTATACACTCAGAAGTAAGTAGAATGAAATCTGTGGCTTGAAAGCCTCTCCCTTGGGATCAGTTATTACTTATTTGAGTCATCAACCATCACAATGTGTTGAAATTGGGGAATAACCAACATTTACAGTTTCATTGAAACTTCAGCTGAGTGGCTACCAAATACATCTATTTGTGGTTTCTTTCCAAATTTTGTGTATCTTGTATATTCAAAGATGATCACTTCACATAATGTTGCCTCATGTTCTTATATAATTTTTTCTTTAAGTTCCATAATTAAAAAAATATGGTCTAAGCATTCTATTGGGATTGATTATAACTTATTAGAAAGCATTTTTTGGTAATGTAATTTTAAGAAAACAAAGAATCTTTAAAAATGGTAAAGATGGGTTGAGAATCCTTTGCATGATTCGGCTTTTAGGTCTTTGGTTTTAGTGAGCAGGGTTAGAGCTTTACAGATCAATGGACCATATTTAGGAGCATCAAAGCATTGTGGTTACTTCATGAAACACTATATTCTGTTTTTCAATTAAAGGTATACTTAACAGGAAGGGTATAACCATCAAATGTATGACTAAAAACTAGAGCCCTCCAAAAATTCAAGAATTATCATAAATATGTATGCATACTGTATATGCCGTAATTGAGTCATAAAACTT